CCGCGCGCGGGCCCTGGGAGTCGGGAGCCCGCGGCCGAGACCACGCCCCCTCCGCTCGCGGCAGGCGGGTCCGACGGGCGAGATTCGCCTCCGGAGATAGGCTCCACTCCGGCAAAGCCCGCCTCATCCTTCCTCTGATTGGGCAGATGGCGCTGCCGGCCTAGCCCCACGCCAAGCTACTTCTTGAATGAACCTGGAGAGATGTTTCCTCTGACCAATCCAAAGAGCGTTCTTTCCGGACGCCCCGGCGATTGGATAGCAAGAATGTCGCTGTCGTCCAACGATCCTACGGTCCCAAAGTTGTGAGCAGTGGTTCATTGCGGTCGATCTCTTCCCCTTGCTGTTTTGGTTTAAAACTTTCAAAAGTGTGGTTGTATCGAAATCCTCCGAATGAGTTCCAGATTGACGTCCAGGTTTATTAATTTTAAATGCAGGCAAAGATGAGACAAATCATTGTTAACAGGGACTTAGGAATAGGTTTGAATGTTTGACCATAAAAGGCCTGTCGACCTCATTTTTCCACTGTTTTTTTGTTTCTTTGTGTTATATCAGAATAGTAAAAGCCCTTAAGAGACTTATCCACTTTCCTAAGTTACCGATAAAATCCTCATTTTTAGTGAAAATTGCAAAGGAAATTCATTTTAATTTCACATTTGGTGCCAGGCATTGTGTTAGACACAAGTGAATAAGACAGGACCCGGCTCTCGAGAAAGTGAGTCCAGTGTAAAAAAACGAATAAATATTTGCAGTTGATTTTTTTGGTGTCAGGCACTGTGACTAATGCTCTTTACCCTCTTCATCTCCATGAGCATCCCTCCCCAAAGCCAAATAAACATAAAATCTAAGTGGAAACCAATGTGCTTACTTTTGCAAACTTAGTTTCAGGACAAGTCCTGTAGCCGCATTTCCAGTTAGATGGAAGCCTATCAGTAATGGCGGCCCTGGAGTCACAGTTAAGTAGCATTATCCTGGTTTTTCAGGTGAGACAATAGATGCAAGTAATTTGCCCGGGTCTCACAACTATTCACTGACAGAGCTAGGATTCCAAGCCACGTTTGTCTGATTCCAAAGCCCCAATTCTTAACGTGATTATGCAAATTAGGAGAGAGGATAATTGAAAGCCATCAATTCTGTTTGAGAAGGCCAAGTCAGGCTTCATAAAGAAAGACACTCTTTTTTTTTTTTTTT